TGGTCCCAGGGTCCTGGGATCGAGCCCCGCATCGGGCTCCCTGCTCAGCGGGAAGCCTGCTTCTCCCTCTCCTACTCCCCCTGCTTGTGTTCCCTCTCTCGCTATGTTTCTCTCTGTCAAATAAATAAAATCTTAAAAAAAAAAAAATGTTTTTCGATGTCAGAGTAAGCTCTTGTGCATTAAATCCAGTGTTAACAAATGTTTATCATATTGTGAGAATGCCAAGACAAGTTTGCCTTATTCTTTATTATTTAGTGTAATTTAGTACATAGCTCAATTAAATATTAGACTTTTTTTTAACTTTAATTATTTAACTTTATTTTATAGAACCAAAAGCTAAATGCTAGACCTGTGGCATATGGCAATAATAGTACAGAGCAGATTTTGTGTCAGAATACTATGATTTGTTATAGGTATGAACTTATATTTGTCATAGTGAGAAGTGTTTTTCGTTGCTCTGAATTACAATTTCAGTGCAAGTTGTACAGTATTGTTTTATAATTTATTTTTTATTTCCTTGTTAATAGAATAGTATGTATATTGAAGAAGAATATAATTTATCCATTCTTGTATCTCCATTTTCATGGAGATAGCCAATAATAACTCCATAATGTAATTGGATTACATCAGTGATATACCTTTCAGTGCAAGTGTGCGTAAGATCAAAGAGATCATGATTTTTAGATTTCAGAGAATGTATGATTCCTGTACTGGGTGGGAGGTTGAACAAAGTGACCTTTTAAGACTTTTTCTAGATTTTAAGTTCTGTTCTCTAAAAGTAAACTGTAGACTTAAGAGCTACAGTATCTAATTGCCATGTTTTTCATGTGGAAAATTAATGTTCGCAAAGGAATTTGTAGAGAGCCCAGTTCTTATCTTTGGCTATCCTGAGTGTATGGCTTTGGTAAGTTTAACCGGTGATAGGTGGTGCTGTTGTTGCACAGTTAGTGTGAAGAGCCTCGCAGCCCTCAAATCTTCTGCATCCCAAGTGTTCCAGAAGGATTTGCCACTGTGGCCCGTGAATGAGTTGTAATAATGTGTATAAGCCAAATGACTGTGATGTGTCTTTAGGTATCATCATAATTTAACATTTATAAGAAACAAAATATTTGTGATTTGCAGCTCTTAAATACAGATTGAAGAAAAGCTGAAGATCTGAACAAGCAGTTAATCTTAAAGACAGCGCTGCAAATATACAGTTTAATATTGAAAGCTTTAGAAGCCATTTATCTTGTATTGTTGATATTCTAAACTGCTTGTTTGGCAGGCCTATTAAAAAGCTACCATCAGCATGTTTCCTCTGTTGACTGTTTATTATATCTGTTGTCAGTTCTTGGGTATTTAGAACTAGTTTTATCTTTTTTGCCATTTTCCCTGTCTGATATTACATATTCCGTCAAAAACTTGAGAATTATGAAAATGTATTGTGAACTACATTACCACTTAAAGCAGTCTGGAAAGCCTTTCTTAACTAATTCTAATTTAATCTGCTCAATACTAAAGGTAGCAGCAGAGTGTTTCCTTGAGCCACTAGTTTTGAAAAGCGATTGTTTTCACACTCAACACATATATTGTCATATCCCTTTTACCTTTGGACTAATAGACTACGGTACTCTTTATATGTGAGGAATAAATCTGATATGACTCAAAATGAACATTCACGTGGTGTTTGATCTGGGTGTATAATAAAAATGATGACATTTAAAGATGCTTACATATTACTTTTGTAGTTCAGAGAATATTGAAATTGGGGCGCCTGGGTGGCTCAGTCACTTAAGTGGCTGCCTTCAGCTCAGGTCTTGATCTCCAGGACCTGGGATCGAGCCCCGCATTGGGCTCCCTGCTCCGCGGGAAGCCCGCTTCTCCCTCTCCCACTCCCCCTGCTTGTGTTCCCTCTCTCGCTGTGTTTCTTTCTGTCAAATAAATAAATAAAATCTTAAAAAAAAAGAATATTGAAATTACAAGTATCTTTGAGGTCCTTTAGCTCCTTTACCTTTTCGGTTTATAAATGCAAAAGAATACAGGCTGAGGGTTAAGAAAAAAAAAAGAAGAGAGCAGGAGGGGAAGAATGAAGGAGGGGGGAAATCGGAGGGGTAGACGAACCATGAGAGACGATGGACTCTGAAAAACAAACTGAGGGTTCTAGAGGGGAGGGGGGTGGGAGGATGGGTTAGCCTGGTGGTGGGTATTGAGGAGGGCACATTCTGCATGGAGCACTGGGTGTTATGCACAAACAATGAATCATGGAACACTACATCTAAAACTAATGATGTAATGTATGGGGATTAACATAAGAATAAAAAAACAAAACAAAACAAAAAATACAGGCTGCGGGGAGGTGGGGGAAGTGGGGAGATGTTGGTCACAGGGTACAGAGTTGCAGTTATGTGGGATGAGTAGGTCTAGGGATCTAATGTTCATGCATGATGGCTGTAGTTAATAACACTGTATTGAATACTGGAAAACTGGTGCTCTCATCATACAAACAAGGTAACTGAGGAGATGGCTGCAGTGATATTTTATCATCTATGTATGTTAAATCATCATGTCATACACCTTAAATAAATACAATTTTCATTCAAAATATATTTTAAAAAGAAAAAAAATATAGGTTTATAGATGTTAAATGATTTATTCAAGGTGGTTAACAGGTAGGTAGTTGCAGGACCCTGACAGGGTACACAGGTTATTCACATTTACCGCAGTGTTCTTTGCAATATGTTTTGCTTTTTCTCATTTACAACATATTTATGAAAGTTAGTACCACATTTAAGTTCTGCTTTTCAGAATACTAAGAATATTTACCTTTTTCTTACATGGAAAACTTCATACTAATTTTAAAAATCATAGTTGCTTTGCTCTAAAATGAAAGGCAATCATGCAGGAACTGAGCAGAGTAGTTTATTAAAGATAAGAATTATAGATTTTAAGAACAGATCATTCATTTTCCTATTTATATCAAGTGTGTGCTCTATTTGTGGTAATTTAAGCATGAATATTACTTAATGTGTATGAACAACCATAAATGTGTGTGTCTGTGTGTGTGTGTGCATATCTTATATTTCAGACGAAAAATTGTGACAAAATTTAGGAGATCTTATTTTCTTATAATCATGTTCTGACCTGCAGTTTCATTTACTGAAATTTTTTGTCTTCTCATGCAGATCAGTGGGGAAGCACAGGAGCTCTTTTCTGTCCGACATGGCCCCATTCGAGCGGCTAGAATCTTGCCTGCTCCACAGTTTGGTGAGTGTAGCCCTTAAGAAGAAACAAATCATTCAGGAGTTTCTCTTTTATTGGTCCTGGACTACCGACAGCAAGAATGATAACTAAAGTCTATTTTCCTCCAAGTGTCCATGCCCTTCCCTTCCTCCCCACAAGATAAACTCTTGTTCTGTCAGTTGAGATGGAAATAGGTAATCTTAACCAATTCAATATGACCATTCACATTCTACTGTGGTTTTGATTTATCTTCATCCTCTTTGATCTCGATTTAGCCTCTGACTTTGCTGGCTCTTTCTTGAAGCCTTCTTCTCTCTTGGTTTGCTTGGCATTACTCTTCCCAGATCCCTTCCTTGCTGACTGTGCTGCTTTTGTTATGTTTCTGGCTTAGCTTTCTTCTGTGGGTATTCCCCAAGTCTCTGTTGTTCTCATGTCTTTGCTCTTCGCCTTGGAGAGCTTGGTTTTCACCATTATCTCGCTCATAGAGGAGTCTGCTGTCTGCATTTCCAGTGATGTCAGAAGGACAGTATTGGGCTTTTGACCTTCGATCTCTGCTTTAAAAATGAATACTTCTTAATGCTTAATGTTGTATTTAAATATTACGTATGTTTTGTTTTTATTTAAAAATCAAATAAATGTTTAAATTAAACCTGCTATTTGGGTCCCTGAATAACTCCTGGCTCTTTAATGATCTGAGCTTTCTGTTGTGTTTTCTCATTAACTTGCCTGTGTTCACTCAGTAATGTTTTTTTGCATGAGCAATAAAAACACAGTCAATTAGATCTTTTTTGCATACTTTAAAATCTTTTAAAAAAGAGGATCTTAAAATATTTTAATTCTATTATATTTTAAAGTTTTTCCAGAAGTTGGGTAATCTTCCTTCACTGAGCAGTTAATTCTCTAAATTGGTAAGAATGCTGTTTGTTAAAACTTACTGCCATGTGCATTATGCACTAACCATATGCATAAGTAATGTCAGGGATTATTTTAGTGGTTAAGTCTGCTTAATTGAAATGGAAGGGTGAAGGTAACAAGGCAATAACATCCTGCAGTCATGTAGAGACTTTTCTCCTTGTTATTGGACTATATGGTATATCCAAAGTCCAGCTGTCTCTCCTTCGCTCTCTCTCACTCTCTCTTGCTCTGTTTTTTGTTGCATTTGAGTTTTGGTGAAATCCTTTAAGGAGGAAGATTGTGGAACATCTTTTTCCAGAAGGTTTATGGAATAACCAGCTTTCTCTTTGGATGGTTGGACTCAAGAACAACTTTTTTATTAAAAGACTTTGCTATGTCTTTGTTTCTTTTGTATGTGATTCACAGAGGCCGATTTTTCTCCCTTCAGTTCATTTATGAAGCTCTTTTGTTTATGCCATTTATTAATGTTCAACTTTTCTCAACTTTTACTTTGGGCAGAAATACTTCATGAGAGAGTATAAAGCTATAAAAGTTAATATTACTAGTAGAATTTGAGTATATTTAATTTATTTTGTCTAATTAAAAAAGATTTCTCTCTACTATAATATACTTCTAAAAATATTAGATTTGAAATATTTCACATAGCTAAATGTTCTTTTATTCAAAAGTTACATATATGTCACTTTTGTTGTATCTGATTAATTTTTTAGATTTGTTTTTACTGAAGTCCTACATGTGACTGATAACATAAAATTTGTAATGGAAAATAGAACACCCCATCCCTCTCTTTTGCCCAATTTGCTTTGTGTGATCATTTTGATGGAGTAAGTCTTTTAGTGGCTTCCTGAAAAAGGATGTGTGGTAAATTTTGTTTGTCTGAAGATGTCTTTATTCTTTCTTAATTCTTGTTTGGTAATTTGGCTGGCTAACAAATACTTGTTTGTAAATGATGTTATTTGAGAATTTTGAAGGCATTGATCTAGTGTTATGATTGAAGAGTCTGAAGCCATTTTGATACCTTTTTCTTTGTTCTACGGCTTGTTTTTCCTCTCTGGGAGTTAGTAGAATGTTGGTCTTTGTTCCTAGTGTTCTGAAACTTTACATTGTTGTTTATTAGTTCATACATTGTCCTGGGCCCCTTCAATGTGAGAATGCAAGTAGTGTAGTTTTTTTTAAAGATTTTATTTATTTATTTATTTATTTGACAGAGAGAGAGAGAGACACAGCAAGAGAGGGAACAAAGCAGGGGGAGTGGGAGAGGGAGAAGCAGGCTTCCCGCTGAGCAGGGAGCCCGATGCAGGGCTCGATCCCAGGACCCTGGGATCATGACCTGAGCTGAAGGCAGACGCTTAACGACTGAGCCACCCAGGCGCCCCTGCAAGTAGTGTAGTTTTGAGAAAATTTCTTAATTTTTTGATGATTTCTTCTAAGTTTTCTTTGTTCTCTTTTTCTGGTACTTATATGATTTGGCTCTTAGACCCCCCCCTAGGATGATTAATGATTAATTAAAAAAAATAATTCCTTTCATGTCCTTTTTGGGAGATTGTCTCAATGTGGATTACTAATGCTTCTATTGAATAATTCTTTCTATTATCACGTTTTTCTTAATCTTACCTTCTCATACCCAACACCTCACTCTCTCTCTCAGCCTGCTCCCCTCTTCCTCTCCCTCTCTCTTTTCTTTCTTTCTTGGTGTAATTTACATATAAATATTACCAAATAGAATCCAGTGATATATAAAAAGAATTATATATCATGACCAAGTAAGGGATATTTCAGAAATACAAGGCTGGTTAACATTTTAAAATCAATCAGTGTAATTCAAATTAATAAAACAAAGAAAATCCATATGATCATTTTATTAGAAGTGGAAAAAACCTTTGATAAAATTTGGTAGTCATTTATGATTAAAAAAACTTTCGGCAGGGTGCTTGGGTGGCTTAGTCGGTTGTCTGACTCTTGATTTCAGCTCAGGTCATAATCTAGGGTTGTGAGATTGAGCTCTGCATTAGGCTCCTTGCTCAGCACAGAGTCTGCTTGAGATTCTCTCTCTCCCTCTACCTCTCCCTCTCTTAGCTCTCTCTCTCTAAATAAATAAAGTCTTAAAAAACTTCCAGCAAATTAGGATAGAAAGAAACATTCTCAGTGTAATAATAGCTAACATCATACTCAATAGTGATACATTACTTTCCTGTTGAGTTTGGGATGGCTTCTACCATAACTTCTATTTATCTTTCAGTGCAGGTCCTAGCCATTACAATAAGGCAAGAAAAATAAATAAAAGGTGTAAATATTAGAATGAAGGATGTAAAATTGTCTTTATTCATTGATAATTTGTGTATATGGAAAATACAAAAGAATCTATAAACTGTTAAAATTAATAAGTAAATTTAGTATAGCTGTTGCATACCAGGTGCATTAGATCTTTTGTGAACTGATCCCCTCACTGTGTGTTTTTCCAGCATCATTTTCAGTCATCCTTAACCAGTGTCCCTCCATCTTCCCCTTCCTTACCCTAATAGTACTCCTCTGTGATAGTTCTACTGAACTTTCATTTCCTCAAATGATCCATCCTCTTTAAGGTCATTTCGTTGCTATTTCCTTTTCTAGAATTCTCATGTCCTTCTAACCCTTTTTGCTCCAAAATCAGTGTTAATAGTATGTGCTCTCATAGGACTTACTGTTTTCTTTTCTTTTTTTTTTTAAAGATTTATTTATTTATTTTAGAGGGGGAGAGAGAGAGAGAGAGTGTGTGCAGGGAGAAGGGGCAGAGGGAGAGGGAGAGAGAATCTCAAGCAAACTCTACACAGAGCATGAAGCTGACTTGGGGCTCAATGTGGGGG